TTATACACTTCCATAAGTTGATCTTCATATAGTTATGCACATAGAAAAATAATTACATTTTCCCCTTCCCCTTACTATCATGTAACCCAGTTGTTCCTACAATACATATTTGAAAGACAAAATGAGGGTTAGTCCTGAAAGTCTAGTGAGATCCCTTTTTCCTTGAAATTGCAGGGTGAAGGTCATCAAAACCTTATTTAAAATCAACTTTTCATATAAATAGAAATATGTTGGTCCCGAAAAGGTCTAGAAGATAAGAAACAGTTTGTAGAAGGGGGGGATGAATACAAACACAATGTTTTCAAATTTAAAATATATATTGATAGAGAAGATCAATACAGATTTTACAAGACTGTTTGCGGAAAGATAAGGTAAAGAAAAACCTATCTAAACAATCTTTGGTTACACATGAAGCTATAGCAAACACAGAAAAGAGAATGCTATATGATAGATCCTTTACTTAAGCTAGAGGATGCTTGAAGTAAGAATTAGGTTGAAGAGTGATGCACGCACTCTGCAAAGAGAAGAAACACTTCTATTTATACCCAGTGCATTAAATGAACATTTAATGCAATATGGTAGGTTTAGAGTGCATGTCGAGCCTTAAAAGGAAGGCTTGTCCTTTGCTATAGTGAATAGTACAAAAGCACTATTCTTGAACAGACATCCTTGCCTAAACTTGGTGGACAAAGAGTCGACTAATCGGCTCCGTACTACTAACTTTTGCAAGGGTATGGGTTTGTCCTTTGTATGCAAAAGGACAAGACAACAACTATCGTGCTAAGCAAGCTTCTTTTGATCGCTGAATGCTGGGATGACCTGGAGGTCTCATCATCATTCGCTGAAGCTAGAGCAGTCTTCACACATATGTAGACATATTTGTAATCACTGAATACCGCTTCAGATCACATACTCACCAGTCTCTAATCTTCAGTTTCAGTCTTCGACGTTCGTTGAAGGTTCTTTGGTGTGAGTGTTGTCTTCTTGAAGTATTGTTGTCTCTGATGAATTTACAAAGCAAGTTCTTCAGCGATCACTGAACATACTCAGTGATGATCGCTGGAACTGAAAATACAGAAACACAAATACAACGTGAAAGAAAAAAGGATTATCATCAAATCACTGAGAGAGAGGATCAACAATCTCCCCCTATTTGATGATAACAAGATAACATAAAGAAAGTTATCTTATCATATAATAGTAAGGAAAAGTTACATATAGAGTACATGTCCCTTTTTACTATTTTGGGATCTTTTTCAGTT